TAAAGTGTCTAAATTTTAAAAATAACAATATATGGGTTTAGATTTACTTATAGATATATAGCTATAAATATATTTAAAAAGTAGAGACCTCTAATTATAACATGTATTTTAAAATACTAAAATCTGTTTAAGTCTGACGTTTCTAAAAGTTCTCTTACTTCTATTTTTAGACTTTGTAACAAAATGGCCTTAAATTCGGATTAGGAATCACTGCCTGAAAATCAGAATATCTAAAGAACTGTCGTTTCTATAAATGACAAAAATAAAGCCCACAGATGTTGCATAACCTGTTCAGTCTTTGAGTTAATGTAACTATACATTTAATGTTTTCTTTGAACTCTATAATTTTTAGTAAACCTGAATCTTTCTAAACCATGAAGATACTAGAAATAATATTATTCATTATACAGGAACTTAAGGCAGGATCTTCTTTTCATAGTCCAAGATTGGGAACTGTAAAGTCCATCAAAGTGAATGGGTAAGCGAATAGTGGTATATCCATACAATGAAAATAAAAGAAAAAATTAAGAAACAGACTATTGGTACAGCATAGATGAACCTCAAAATCACGATGCTAAGTGAAAGAAGTCATGAAAAAAAAAGGAGTGTTTGCTGTATGGTTCCACTTCCATAAAATTCTAGAATAGAGAAATTTAATCAATAGAGCCAGAAACCTATCAGTGGTTGCCTGGAGACAGTGGTGGAGGAAGTGAAAAATTATAAAAAGGCACAAAGAACCTTTTGGGGTGATGGAACTGTTCATTATCTGGACTGTAGTGATGGTTTCATGGATGTATATACTTAAGTCAAAAACTGATTTTAAAAAGTGTACACTTTAAATGTGTACCATTTGTCATACTTAAATCATACCTAAATAAATAAACCTTATTATCCAAACCTATTTCATAGCTGCATTTATACAAATAATGAAAAAAAATTAAAATACTACTTTTTTGTTATAAGTCAGCAACAGTGATTCCAGATATTTCAAGTACTAAACAAAGTAAGTAAATGGAAGATATTCTGGTTTATAGCCTTAAAGAAGGCTTAATTTATTTTGAAATAGTGCTTCCTCAGTGCTTAAGAAAAATATCATAAGTTAGGCAAATGGGTCAATCTTTACAAGTAATATAAGGCAGTTCAGGCACTTCAGCGATTTCAGTTTTCTCTTCTTAAGTGTTGTGAAATGGATATTGTCATTAACTATGATTTAAATGGGTACATAAGAAACAGCTCAGTTTCATCTGGAACTTCCTGGCATTCTAACAAAAAGACAGCCTGCAGAATACCTAGCATGTGAATTCACTCAGAAGAAGAAACTGTTCTAAAAGTGTCAGAGGCACTGTGCGGCCTTCTCCGACTGTGAGTCCCACTTATGGTCTGCTTAATTTCAGGAGAGCAGTGACTGACAGAAGGAAGACAATCAAAAATGCGTGGAGTTTATTTCACATTGAACGAGATGATAGGTTGCACTTGGCTAAAAATGTATTGTTAGTTCCAAGTTTGAGCACTGACTAATCTAGTGCTTCTCAAAATTGAGAAATGTAGTCAAGAGGAAAAGAGCCCAATAACAATATCAAAAAAGTCCTATCCAGCCCGGCCGGGCGTGGCTCAGCGGTTGAGCATCAACCTAGGATCGAGGCGATCAGGGTTCAATTCCCGGTCAGGGCACATGCCCGGGTTGCAGGCTGCAGCAGATCAATGATTCTCTCATCACTGATGTTTCTATCTCTCTCTCCCTCTCCCTTCCTCTCTCTAAAATCAATGAAGATATATTTAAAATATATATATATATTAAAAGAGGAAAACAAAAACATCCACCTCTTTTAAAAATGTTTTTAATGAGTATAAATACAAGCTTTGCTTATAACCTTTATTCAAATACGAACCCCCAAAAAACTATTTTATAAATTAAATGCACTCAAAACTATAAAATCAGTAACATTTAAAATTAACTTGACAGATTATAATGTTTTGCTTAAATTGTCTCTCAAAGTGAATATGGTGTGGCTTGTTATATGGTGCTGGTTTCATTTTTTGTTTAGTTTATTTCCAAGTCCAGCATATTTCTAGGACTATGGGCCAGACGGTATTTCTGCTCTGCCACTTATTACCTATGTGACATTGGACAAGTTATCTAATTTCTCAGTTCCTTGGTTTTCTTGTCTATGAAGTGGAGATTACCATATTTACCACAATAACAGCCAACACAAATAGTATTTTAAATGCTTTACATATACTAATTCATTGCATCCTCACAATAATGTTGTGAGGTGGGTACCATTTTTCAAGCAGAGAACTTGAAGAGCAACAACAGTAACTTGCTGCAGGTCACATCACCAGCAAACGACTGAGGGAACATTCTCGAAACCAGACCTGTGTTGTTACAATACATGTAAAGTGTTAATATTATGCCTGACTCATATTAACATTCATTAGTTATTTTTTCATGTCCCCCATTACTTTTGAAAGTATAGCCATGTCCCAGGGGCCTTCGCTTGACAAGAATGGATCACATACTAAGTCTCTCTCAGTACTCTTCTCATCTGCTTGGGCGCATAAAATCGGTGAGGCAGAGAACGTGCACACTGGTGCAACTTGACGCACACGTACAAATACCCTAGCACTAACCCGATTAAATTCACATGTATTCTCTTATATTTAATCTTTAAATAAAAACCAGTGGACACCTAAGAATATATCCAAAGACACCTCCAGCCCCCCACCTGCCCCTTTCAGAGACCCACTTTTTGAAACTGCCCACTTGTTTAGGCTTCCAAGAACGTGACAGCTCTGGATTGCTTAAAAACAAATCTGCATCCCTGGTGGATCGTGAGTCCTTCCTTTGTCTCCTTTACGCCCAGCACTGCCCCTGGCATACGGCTGGAACTCACGTGTTTGCTTACCTGAGTGCCAGAGCACAAAGGCAAGCAGAAACTACCCAGACACAGGCAGAGCAGAAAGGCTGCAGTGCCAAATAGGTCGGCGAGAACCGTGCAGAACAAAAAAATAAGAACTCCAACTCCCACAACTCTAGGCAGGGAACGCTTATTACAAATACAGCTGTGACGGCCTTAAAGTTGAGATTGGACGGGGTGGGCTCACATCACCACCTGTTGAGTTCAAATCCGATTTTTTCCCTCTTACACTGTGACTTTCCTTGTCAGTGTGAAGGGCTAACTCGCCACACACTCTGGGGAACCAGATCTGAACCTGGCTACTTAGAAGACTGGGGACTGGGAAGCCTTTATGGCCTCTGCCATTCGAGGACACACGTGGCTTTCTCATGCTCGACCTCAAAACCACGTTAACTTCACCCGCAGGCCCACGCACCCCCGTCCCCGCGCCCTCGCTGAGCAGGTGAAGCCACTGTCACCCTGCTGTCACCTGCCAGGTAACGGGACTTAGCGGGGAACTCCGCCGGGACCCCCACTAGGGAATGAGGGGGAAACACGGCTTCGGCTCGTCCCCGGGGCCAGGGGCCTGTGTCTCCCGCCCCACGACTCGCAGCAGCGGAAGCGGGACACGCGTCGGGGGAGTGGAAGGAAAAGCGGGAAGAGCGCGGCCGCCCCGAGCGCGCTGAGGGGGGGACGCCGGCCCGACTCCCCCCGGCTTCCCTAGGGCTCCTGCGGCGGCCGGGGCTTCTGGAAGGCGGCGGGGAGGCCGCGGGCGCGGTAGCCTCAAGGGGACAAGCTACAGAACTAGTTCTGCGCCCTTATCAAGAACCCTTCCCCTCCGAGCTCCCTCCCCCCCGGGCAGGGGCGGGGACAGCCGAGGAATCCAGAGCTTTCGGCCTCCGGAAGTCGAAGCGCTCCTGCTTTCCGCACCGGTCGAAGAACCTGGAACTGCCAGGCCGCGGTCGCCGAGACCGAGCGCGGCGGCCGTCACCTCAGAAATGTTGAACGCGCACCCTGGAGCCCACACCCCGGGGTCGCTCCTTGTCATCTGAGCCGGGCCCGGGAAATGGGTACCTCTCCAAACGCTGATTCTGAGGACCAACCTCGGCCACCTCCGCGACCGTCCCGGCAGCGCTAGTCCCTCCCCACCTCTCC